ATTCGAGCATGCTATGATTCTGTAGAGCGAAAAGTGCTTGCATACTTCCGACCGGAATACCGGAATGATCGGTCCGTTACTGGTACCAAGGGTATACCTTGCTCGTAGTAATGATCTCATTTCGACCAACTGAATGACTAAGGCTAGTCACACACAACATGGATGACGTGGCGGTCCACAATGCCGTCTTTCCTCTCGGCTACATCATAACATTGCCAGCCATGACTACCGCGTTTCAGTTGCACTTGGAGTGTGCTGATGTCGCTTTGTGTTTTTTGGGCTTCTTGATTGCTTGGCGTCCAAGCACTGAATCTTTAGGTGCTTTAATACGAGAGAAGGCGTCGTCCGCTGCGCAACTGTCCATGGTCCCTCGCAGGTCGGACTCAAAGCGTGGTCTATCCCCCAATGCGTTCTTGCAGAAAATCGATACTCATTGGCCATGTTTACGCGGAGCGTGGCCCAGTCCAACGGGGTGGGAAGCAAACCGTCGATTACGTAACCCTCCAACGACACATCCCTCGAAGCGACCACGACCACGAAGCCGAGCACCCGGCACCGTGTCAACGACGCACATAGATTTACTTGTAGCTTCGCTGGTCGTTGTCAGCATCATCCATCCAGCGGCGCCGCGCTCCCATGTCCACAGGTACCAAGGCCCATGACATCAATTCAATGCGCAGACCGCCAACATTCTCGTTTTTCGAGCTTTTCAATCGGTGAATGACATACATTCTCAATCTGGACAGGCCAGTGCGACAGTCGCCGGCGCCCACTCTGCACACTTAGTCTTCAATTCACCTTGCACGATGCAGACGACCTCCTACCTTCCGACGCACCAGCCGCAGTACCTCGTCGGGGACACGGCGCACCTCCAAGCCGAACGCGACGCCCACAAAATGGGCTACGGCGGCGGCACCCTCTTCATCAGCGCCGGGTCCTTCATCCACGCCGCCGGCCCCATCGTCGTGCCCAAACGCATCGTCATCACGGTCGTTCTGAAGGGCGCGACGGTCGATCTGACCCAGGCGACGTTCGTGCACCCGGTCACCGAAGTTCAGATCTGTGCCGTCCTTGGCGGGGTCAAGCTCATCCTTCCGCGCGGCGTCCGCTGCGAAACGTCGGGGCTCAGCATCTTTGGCTCCTTCAAGAATGCAAACAACCAGTCGGCGTCGCTTGGGGCGAATACGCCACTCGTACGCATCACGGGTCTTTCGGTCTTTGGTGGCGCCAAAGCCTCCGTGTGCATGGAAACTGCACCACTCGTCGTGGTGCCGTCGTTGCCCGAGGTCACGATCGAGACAGCACCTACCGAGAGCCTGCCACTTGCGACCCCTGCCCCCGAGCCCTTGGCCAAGTAGTGTAATTACTCGGGGTGTGGACGAAATGCGTCTTTATATAGTTTCATCTTTCGAATTAACACAAAACAAGTATGGTTGCATGCAACTATGACTACAATCTCCACACATCCAGTGTGTTCTATCTAGCAAGAAACAGTTGTATTCTCTCCGAAACCATCTGTGCCGTACCACCAAGCTCCGAAGCGCGGCGTCTCTGAGGCTCTGTTGGCGAGTCCAATTAGCCCGTGCAGCGAAGACACACTGTGGCATTTTGGAGCTCGTCCGCCAACGTGCCGATGCTCGTGCTAGATGATTTTTTCTTATTTTACTGTGTTTAATCTTATTTTCATTATTTCTAGTCAATCTTGCTTCGGCGCCGCGCGGCACGATCGACAACAAGGCGGCTCGACGCATGCCGCTCAACCCGACATAAACGTGTCGACTTGTCCTCAACAACAACCATATATTACTCTACAAAACGTCCTAGACCATATCACCTACACGTAACCGCCGACGGGGGGTGTGGTTTGCTGCTGGTACTTTTCGCCATCCACGCTGGTGTCGTCGCCGTCATGGTGGTTGGACAGAAACGCCTTGTAGCAGCCCGCACCCAAGGTCGCGCCGACCATGGGCGCCACCATCGGCACCCAAAAGTAGTGGTTCGCGCCCGTAAAGACCTCGGAGCCATACCCGACGAGGTACGTAAAGACGCGCGGCGCAAAGTCGCGGGCCGGGTTCAACGCATACCCGGTCGGCATGCCAAAGCTCATGCCGATCGCGACGACGATCGCGCCGACCGTGAGCGGCTTCATGATGCCGTTGGTCGGCATGTTCTTGTTGTCGTCGACGCTCATGATGGTGAGGAGGAGCATGAACGTGCCTAGCATCTCGCACACGAACGCGCTGCCGTGGTTCTCGTACGACTGCGGGTACGTCGCAAAGATGCCGCCCGTCTTGTTCCAGACGCGGTCGCCGTCGTACACGTT